TACTTTAATAAAAATACTTAATTTAATTTAAGCTAATTATATTTAAGGTTTAATTATTATTACTTATAGTAATCCTTTAATTAAATAGTAAATTACTTTTTTATATTTAAAATAAAAGGTAATATTTATCTTTTACTATTAGGAATAATAAGATTATTTAGCTAGCTATATTTATTACTTAAATTAAAGAAACTTATTCCTAATTACTAAGTTATATTAATTTAAGCCTTATTATTTAATTAAAATATATTATTATAATATAAAAGGAAATCTAACTTATTAAAAAGTTAGCTTTATTAAAGTTATAAATATCTTTATTTAAAATATTATATTTAGCTATTATTATTTATTTTTTCTTATTATAAATAAGAGTTATTTAGTTTTAAGATTAAGCTATATATATAACTATTATATATAGTTTTTAAAATATAATTTATAGCTTATACTTAAACCTTTAATATTATAAAAACTTAAATATTTATATATTTAGCTTAAATATAAATATTAATATTTTATTAAAACTCTAATAAGAGCTAATTAATATATAAATTAGCTATAGCTCTAAAAAGAGATACTTATTACTACTAACTATAATTACTTTTCTATATAGTAATAATAATAATAATAATAATAATAATAATAAGATATTATTATTTAATACTTATATCTCTATTAATAAAGGCTTAATTATTAAAGTAAATAATAAGCTTTTAGAAGATATATTACTTTTAATTATAAATAACTTAAAAGAGCTATATTTAATATATATAAAATCCTTAAGCCTATATTTAATTAAAGAGCTTCTTATAGTAATAAAGCTATTAATAATAAAGTAAATCTAATAGCTATATTTACTAAGTTTATCTTTATATTATAATAGCTAAATAGATAAAGTATTTAATAAGGTATTTAATAAAGTACTCCTTAATAATATAAAAGACTTATATAATATATTTAGCTTTATTAATAATTACCTTATTATATATATCTATTATAACTTAGTATTTAATTATTAGTTTTAGTATATTATATATTATATTAAATTAATTTAAGTAAAAATAGCTTTTATTTAAGTTTTAATTTAATAAATTAATTTAGATTTAAGCTTATTTAGTATAATATAGTAAAAAAGCTTTTAGGAAAGGTTATTATATTTAAGGTTTATAATATCTACTAGAAAAGTTAAATCTATAAGGTTAAATTAATTAATTATATTTATAAGTATAATATAGTATTTATTATAATAAAATCTTTATTATTAATATATAGTTTAATTAATTCTTAATATCTAGTAATTTATATAGTTATATATTATATAATAATTTAGCTATTATATTTTATATAAGGTTAAACTATAAGTAGATAATCTTAAGATCTTTATATAAAGCTCTTTAATAATTATATTTATATAATAGAATTATCTTAAGTAGTAGTTAATACTTAATAAAATAAGAAGCTTAATTAATATTAATATACTTTATATTATAATTATATAATAGGAGATTAACTATATCTTCTATCTTAATAATATATAATAAAAATACTTATAAATTTAAGTTAAAGACCTTTTAAATAATAACCTTCTCTTTTAAATTAGTAAAATTCTAATTATTATATTAAAAATCTTAGTAAGTAGTATAATTATACTTTTAGGAGATAAAAATAATATAATTAATATTATAGAGTTTTATAGCTTTTTAAATACTTAATTTTAAGTTTTATTATAAGGCTTAAAATATAAGAGTTATTTAAGACTTTTTACTTTATATTTATATTATTTTTAATTAAATAAAAAGGGTTAAAAAATAAAAGATTAAAATTTTAAAGAAAGTAAAATATATATTAATTTAAAATATATACTAGTAAAATATATTATATTTAAAATATATTATTATTAATATTAAACTTTATATATAACTAGGTATAAGCTTTATAGTTAGATAAAAAAGCTAAAGGTTAATATATTATAATATTAAATATAATATTAAGTTATTTAAATTTTAATATTTAGGAATTTCTCTTTTTTTTTTAGTAGCTATTATATAATTAAATAGCTCTCTTACTTATTATTTAATTCTTAAGATTATAAAAATAATTATTTATATTAATTTAAAAAGAGCTTTTTCTTACTATATTTAATATATAAGCTTTTATTTAATTAAAAGCTTATTTATAATAATAAAGTTACTTATATTATAATAAATTTAGTAATTATATTTATTAAGTTTATTACTTTATTATAAAGCTAGCTTTTTAATAATTAAAGTTTAAATATTAAAAGTATTTATTAAAAATAAAAAGTAATTTAAAAAGCTAAATCTTATTAATAATTTTTAAAAAGTTAAAGTCTTTAATATAAAATAAACTAATTATAAAATAAGCTAAATTAAAGATAAATTTAGCTTATAAAGTAAATTAAGAAATATTAAAGAGATTATTTTAAAAAATATAATAAAAAAAGTAATCTTTAAATAAAAAAGAAAAGCTTTATTAATTATAAAATAAATAAAAAAATAAATTATAAAGTAAATAAAATAATAAATTATTAACTTATAAAATCTTTATTTAATAAAGAGAAAGCTTTATATTTATAAATATTTTAAAGCTTTAAAAGCTTTAAAGATAATATATTATTTTTTATAATATAAGCTTATAATTATTATAAAGTTTTTATATAAAAGATAAAGAGAAGTATAATAATAAGTATATATTTATATATATTTATATATTTAAAAGAGATAAAGAAGCTTATATTTAATTAACTTAATTTTTTTTTTTTCCCTTTCTTTCTTTCTTTCTTCTTTCCTCTTTAATTATATATAAATATTCTATTAACTTAAGTAATTTTACTAACTATCTTTATAATAATAGTTAAAAGTTATAATAATTATAATTACTATTTTATATTAATATATACTTTAAGATTAAAAAGGTTGTTTAATAAAAATATTATTAAGTTATTTATTATTTATTTCTTTTTACTATATATAAGGGTAATATCCTAAGATTAAGCTATATATATAACTATAAGCTATATCTATTTAATATATATCTTAAAAAAAATAAGCTATAGTTTATACTTAAACCTTTTTAATATTATAAAAACTTTTAAGATTATATATAAAGCTTAAATATAAGTATTAATATCTTAAAAAAACTTTAATAAAAGCTAATTAATATATAAGTTAGTTATAACTTTAAAAAGAGATATTTATTATTATTAATTTCTCTTAATTTAATCTAATTTAATTTAATTTAAGTAAAATAATAATATTAATATTTAATATTATTATCCTTAATAAATACTTAATTATAGTAAATAACTAAATCTTATAATATATAATAATAATTATAAGAGATAACTTAAAGAAGCTATTTTTTAAATATATTAAGTATTTAAGCTTTTAATTAATTATAAACCTTTTTATAATAATAAAGCTATTATTAATAATTTAAATTTAATAATTATAGTTATTAAGTTTATTAATTTATTATAAAGCTAATAAGATAATATTAATAAATTAAGCTAAGTATAAAGTACTTTTAAAGAATAAGAAAAGCTTAAATAAGCTAAATTTTATTAATAATTATTTCTTTATATTTATTAATTATAATAACTTAAAATTTAACTTTTAATTTTAATATATTATATATTATATTAAGTTAATTTAAATAAAAATAGCTCTTAAAGATTAAACTTATTTTATTAATATAATTAATATTATATTATAGATTAAGTTAAGTAGCTTAATAATATTAAATAAGTTTTTTAGGAAAGTTTATTAATTATTAAAGAGATTAAAAATTAAAGGAAAAGTTTATTAAAAGTTAATTTATATTTAATATATTTTAATATAAAAGTTATTAATATAGAACTTTTAGATTAATAATAATAATTAATTACTTATTATTAATTTAATTAATAAATTATATATTATATAATACTTTAGCTATTATTATAAAGATAATTATTAAAGTTACTTAAATTAATAGAATATTTATATATAATTAAAAAGAAGAGAAAGAAAGAAAAAAGAAAGAAAGAAAGAAAAGAGATATAAATAATTAAGCTAATTAAATATAAGCTTACTTATCTCTCTTAAATATATAAATATATATAAATATATATTTATTTTTATACTCTTTTTAATATAAATTAATTAATTATTATATAATTATTAAATTTAATATATTAAATAAATAAAATTATATTATTATATTTATTTAAATTATATATTTTTAATACTTTTAAAAAGAATAATTATATAAATAATTATATATTTCTCTTTTAAACTTAAAGCTTTTTTAATTTAAGAAAAAAAATATATTTATAATAAACTAACTTTAATTTAGCTAATTATATTAAATTATATAATACCTTAGTTTTAATAAGTTTTAATTAAAAGGTTTAATTTAAATTATAAGTAACTTAGTTACTTAATATAAGTCTTCTTATAAGTTTCCTTCTTAGCTACCCTGAAATATAGACTCAATTGCCTTTATTAACTGCTCGAAAGCTGATTTAGGGGATACCAGGCTTTCTAGATCAGGTCAAGTGATCTTGCGTTATACTGTAAGCTTAGACCTATCAAATGTATCTCTGTTCATACTAGACCTCACCACAGATCGACAGATATGTGATTCTCATTCCACATAATTGTTTGGGCTTAATTTTGGTCATCAGACCGAACTGGTAATGTACTGGCGCTGCTGACACCCTCATCTTTGTCTGCCTCGATGTCCATCGACAACAACCCGAAATGGCTGAGTTTCAACTTCTGGATATATAATTAGCCATCTTAACACTTCGAGGTCTCGGAACCTAGCGAGTAGGAAGCAAGTACCTGACAACAAGCGAATATGCCGATTATTTGAGAACCAGTAGGTTTCACCACACGAGACTTCTGCCTAAATTCCGTTTGCCACGGCATTCTCGGGTCCGGGGTTGAAACAAAGAGAGATTTCCGGCGGCCAAAGTTGGTCGAGATCTATCACAGCTATTAGAAGTCTACCACGAGGCAGTAAATGCACTGAACTCTCACCTCCATCTCTAAAGGGCCATCCCGGCTTTCCTCGATCCTGATTTCCGTAATCCGCTCGCCATTTGGGCCGTCGACTTCCATCGAACTGGCATGGTCTTCACCATGTGGGGAATACGAATTTACCCAATACGGTCTTGTACTGAAAGGCATGCGCTGGCCAAGGAGCGAATCATGAGTGCTATCAGCATGGCTGAACTCAATGCCCGCGACGGCGTCGAGGTCAAACACATAGGCAGTGACTCTGACGAGCGTGGCCGGCTGGAAGAGTACTTTCTCGAGCAATGGCCGGGAAATCGCATCGGGGCCCCTGAAAGGGCGTTCGTCGTATGATAAATCACACAGTATCCCAGGAGCGGGTATGTCAGACTCCCATAAACACCTATCCTTACCTGGCAACTCCGCCTGTAGCTCGAAGCCAAGAGATAAAAGTCGCATGGCCTTTCATTAGATTAGTATCTGGGGCTATGGGATTCAAAAACAAAAGCGTGAAGGTGGATGCGTACATTGAATTCTGCTCTCACAGACGCCCCGGCTGGAGTAGAGAGCCGCCAGCGGTGACAAGTCCCAGGCTCCCCTGCCCAGGGGCATACTGTTCGATCATCGAGCTCCAGGGCGATAGCCTGTATTCCACTCTTGCCAAGAGCTAAATGCCACCCTGACATGCGAGCTGCTGTTGGGAGGGAGATCGTCTGCTGAAATGGTGTGATGTAGCCCAGACACTTACATTCGCCTTCCCGATTTATAAACTGCAATCCCGAAATAAATTTACGATTATTGAGAACAGTGAATGAGACGGTTAGACGAAAAAGCTCCGAGGGCGTAGGTAATTTCATTTCCCGGATGCGCAAGCCTCCGCAGCCGTCCTGGAAGTGATACCATCTGTCCGAGGTATTCTCTAGGAGCCCATCGCTTGCCACGAACCATTCTCGGTCGTCAGTGATGTAATCTGGCTCAAATTTGCTGGCCAGCGGCAAGCCTTGGCATGGAATCCCCTCCACCTGGTCGTGGAGATGCTTGATTTGCGAGCCAAGTTTCCAGACCCTCGCCCGGTTTTGGAGAGCAGGACTCTGCCGTTCCAAGATGCGCGTGAACATGTAGAGGGCCTTCCAAGATCTGGGGCGTTGCGGCGAACTCTCGAAAATGTGAGCATACTCGTACCCGTCCTGGAACCTGGACGCCCAGAATGGCTCTGGTAGATCTAGACAGGCAACTGCGCGAGAAGCTGTCCGGAGGCGTGCCACATCGGGCGAAGAGAGGGTCGTGAGAATGGCCTGGAGAATTTCTACTGGCAAGCGATAGAACACATCGTTGGTTGCCTGCGTGGATGGCCAGGGGTAGGCAGGCGGTTCAAAGCGAACCGCACACTGCGCTAAATAATGCAGGTCGGGAATGTTCATGGGATCTGATCGAAAGAGGGATGACTTGGGGTGAGGAAATAGGTCCTCCGGCTGGAAGCCAGCCCACCGGTTGGTATAGGGTTGAGGGCGAGCGGCGCCGCCGTAGTCATGACCCCATTGGATCATGGCTGTATCAACAATAGGCATGGAGAAGCAGACGCTGAAGAGAACCGAAATATCCATGTGGCCCATCTTGGCCAAAAGATCCCAACAGGCAGCATGGAAGGCAAACCCACAACGGGCGACGGAACGGGGCATGAGCTGGTCAGGGCTCGGGGCATCCGGACCGAGCTTGACCATGACTTTAGAATTGGGACCAAGGTCTTCGTCGTCATATCGCTTGCGTGGATCTCTCAGACATCTCGCAACGATTATCCCCGTGTCACGATCGTGGTTCTCATCACTCGTTTCAGCTAAGCAAACCCCAGAAAGTTTGACATCGTCCCACGAGGGGGGTCGCGCGTATACTAAGTGCGACGAGTTGAGCCAGTGCTCCGAGTGGTGCACAAGAGTCAGCAATATATGTATCATGACTTACTGACACGGAATTCCTTCAGCCATGCCTCGCCGAAGCTGTCTGAAACGGCCACGCCGCATAGGGTGCACATGAAGAGTTCCATTGGGAAGGTTAAATTGCGTTGTTTGCATGAGGGAGATGTAAGGTGGTCGGAGTGGCGGCGAGAACTGCTGCCTTGCGGAAAACTCTGATCTGACCGCGTTTCAGCCCAATGAGAAGTAACCCTGGTCAGCCACTGGCTGATACTGTCATTTCTGATATGCTGTCACATCTGCCTGATCGCCTGATTATGAAATAGAAGTTCGTGGCCATTTATCAACAACGATAATTAAAAATCTATATAGCTATTATCCTTTAGAAAAAAATGTAAGACAGTGATTAGCCGATTTTTCTTTCTGATCTTTAAAACTGGCTCAGAGCAACAAATTATTGCAGATGGCCTGAAAAAGAACGCCTGTCACACAGAATAGCTGGCTTTTTTATTGGAATAATTTTTATTTAAATTCTATAGGTTCTCAGAGGCTGGAGCCGTGATACATCATTACTTGATTACAGATCGTCGTCCAGGCGATTGAAACCATAACTCCGGCCAAAAGAATTCAACAAGAACGATATAAATGGACGTCATGTGGGTTTAGCTGCGTAGAATCTCACTCTAAGCATTTATCGAAATTGATGTTGGATCAACTGTGCTTGATCTGGCTGCACCTAAGCAATGAAGTGACTGCTAGACAGCTACACCTGCAAAACCTTTTCGGCTTCCTCCTTGAACTTTGCCAAGGCAGCGAGATACAGAGAAATCCCTATGCTGATTCTTGCCACTCCCAGATCCGAAAGCTCTTTGGCTGTCAGCCCATTCGAAGGCTTCATCAATACATTCAGCCGTCCATCAAATGCCTCGACCAGCTCCTTCACTTCCTCTCGGCTCACCCCTCTGCTGGCTCCCCAGACGAAGACAGTGGTGGCACCCGCCGCCAGGTATTTCTTTCCACGTGAGATCACTTCCGAGAGCTCGCCCCCATGAACAAGAACATCGCTTCTTGCATTCACAACGAAGTCTGGGATACCGACAGCATGAGCTGCCTTGACTGCCCTCTGAATTCGTGCTGCAGCTTCATCTGGACTGTAGAACCTGTCTTCCTCCCTGCTATAGTCCTCGATATTGATGCCGACTACACCAATCTTGATGAGTTCTGTGAGCGTATCCTCAAGCTGCGCTCCATAGCCGTCTTGGAAGTCGACTGAAAGAGGTTTTCCAAACTCCTTGATCGAGCTGCTGATTGTTTGTGCCGCCCTGAAATTCAGTTCTCTGGTCAGGTCCTCATCGCTGCTACCAGCAACAGCGGCAACAGCAAAGCTGGAGGTGGCGATGGCCTTGGAAGACGGCAGAGCAGCCACTGCGCGGGCGGTAGCAGCGTCGTAGACATTGGCGAGGATGATAGGACTGCCCGGCTTATGAAGGGCCTTGAAGGCTGTGGCGACAGAGGCTTGAGTGGCTGCCATAGCGTTCTTTGGTAGGTTGACAATGTTGTAAATATTATTAATCAGGTATCGATTGAACGCCGTGATATTTAACATTAATATATCTAAAAAATGGCAGAGGAGCGGCGATACGGCAGATACTTATACTGCCGTTGTTGACTTGCATCGCCAACAGAGGAAGACCTTATGCCACTTTTTGCACATGCCTCGACATGACCAAGCTGAGCAACCGTCTAGTGATTTGTCATTTACCATGCTCACTAATATCCAGCCATAATATGGATCATTTGATGAAGCTTCCGTGAACCAATATGTCATCCCCTGCCACTCGACCAGACTAGTCTTGGATAGGCAATTTGATTCCATCTTCATTCTCCCCTTCAGGATCACCACGGAACAGAGGGTAACAATGCGTTACATCAGCAAAAGTCAAAAGATGTAGGAGGGTCCTTGATTGGTCATTCATGGTTTGGACATCGTAATTCTCATACGATAGCTGCAGTTTGATCGTTTCGAAACCGATCTGCTTCTCTCTTCAGCATACACAAACATGTTGCCACCACAAATGCCTCCACGTCTTTGACGTTGGCTTTTCTCTCGTCTGCCCACATACTCAGATCCATCATCAGTCGTCCGCCATTGCCGCCTGCGCGCCTGCCTGTGCCCTGCGTCCGGAACTCATCATTGCGCACCAGCTGCGCAATCCGAACACCCCTTTTCCCCGCCTTGCCGTCTCTTGATCGAACAAAATCAACCCTTTCCATCAGGATGAGCGAATCCGCATCGTACTCCGACCTGCGCTCGGCGCTGCTGCCATACCGCCACTCGAAGTTGCCGAAAGATGTGTCGAATTTCTGGGTGCGCGAAATAATAGAGCGGCTGACGACATCCACCACCTCGCAAGGGACACTCTCAGAATTGATAGCTTCCTCGACGGATAAGGAAGTATCACGGGGGAGAATTCGAATTCTAGGATTCCTGCCTGGCCCCCGGCGGTAGATGGTCGAGATCAGAGGGGTGCGATGTGTGTCTGAACCGCGCACGAGAGCACACGAGTTGGAGGTCTGCTGAAGTCGAAGGGATATGTACTCCACTTCCCCGCGGTCCACGCGATAGATGGAAATATTCTCAAATGTCCAGCCACTAAGCGCCTGGTCTGTGTCGTATCCTAATGTCTGGACCTGGAGCTGATGTGTCCCAGTGAACGCGGTCGGCGGAGCAGAGCTGCTTGAGGCGCCGCCGCCCTCAACCTCCTCGTAGTAGGGGGGCGGGTCATCTGACTCCGAAGAAACAGAACCCGTCCGCTGCTTCTCGCCCATTGATTCTTGGTCTTGGTTATCGCCTGTTGGATGTATAGGGAAGAAAACTTGGCAGTCCACCGCGGTATTTGGTGGCTGCTTCTTAGCTCTGGCGTCGGCGAGTTGTTCCTCACCGCCCGCGGCCCCCAGATTATAGTAGATAAACGTCCGGGGCTAGGCTGGAGTAGCTATGACAGATCGAGGTAATTCGTAACAGTGGTGTTTCTTAGCGGCGTGGCTAAGGATGGTTACGAGATGGGCGATCCGTGAGGCGCGCCCAGCGACGAATCGCAGGATCCCTCTCAAGCCCCGTGCCCCTCTCTGTCGTTCTAAAAATTCACTTTCAGCTGAAACGCTACTATCGGGGGCAAGGAGCGGCAGCAGTTGAATCCTGAACTTCGAAATTATCATATTTCGTTATTCGTGCCGGAGAAACATCAGAAGAAGGGCTCGGTATTAAGTAATGTAGAGGAACAGCTGAAGCGTGCTGAAATTTTCGATGTGATTAAAAGCGAACAATTGTTAAAAGCATCAAGTCTTGCGTTGTTCCAGGCTGCTGTACGCATGGTACGGATACGACGTTCCTGTTGGTGTATCTGGAGCACCGACATTGCTTTGTATGATCGTCAACTCATAGCTTGCGTCCTCGTTACCATGGCTACTGTGTGTGAACCTCGGCTCAAGACCGTTCATGTTGGGATCCATCGATTGAAAGTCGTTTACGCGTAGGCTGTCAGCAGATTGAGCGTTGGTAATGATACGTCCGCTCACAGGAATTTCGTCACTAGCACGTCTCTGATTCCGGCTGCTCCTTCGATTGCGGGAGCCCTCAGACCATGCACTGCCACTCGAAAATATCTTCAACGACCAGGAAGGTGAAGATGAGCCCGAGAATCTGAACCTTGAGATCCGAACAAACACGGGCCAGCAGACCGGAAGGCACGCGCAGATGATTCCTGTGCAAACATGGACTGTTGTCCAGAGCGCGGTCAGGCTGAAATCTGGATTGCGACTCCCAGGGATATAGCTCAGAATCACTTTGACGACTCCTGACATAATGACGCTGTCGAGTGTGTTAGACATCCGAGCTTAATGCATCACTATGCTTAGACTGGAAGCAAAAGGTTGAAGACTTACAAAACTCCTAGGAGAAACACAGCAACGACGGCAACTTTCCTTCCCCGACTCATGCGTAATCTGTAAACGACCCTGATAGGCATGATGATGATGAGAAAGTCGATGACAGATTCCGCAATTCCAGATCCGAGCCAATACAGATTGTAGTTTATACAGTATCGAGGGTCCTCGTCAGCGTTGATCCACGTGTACTTCATCGGAATACAGCTCAGGATATTCGTTATCGTTGTCGCGATCCAGAAAGCGCCTGTTAGCAAGCACATGAAAATGACTTGGTAACGAAAGGCGGCGCTGACGGAGAAGAGGCGGTTGTACATCAGGATGATGGAGAGTTTAGTCGACGAGACGATCGTGTAGTATATGATTGTCGCAATGTAATTTAGCTTCGTGTACTCGATGTCTTTTTCAGTATACTCGTAGGTCGGATCTTTATTTGAAGCTATATCAGCTCCTTCTGGGTTTACCGAATTTGCTATGATGTATTGTCAGTGCGCCCGTAACCATATCGACTGTAATAACTCCGAAGACAAACCAACGATGATGAGAGTATCGGCTGCGATCAAGGAGAAAAATGACAGTAAAATAAGCCAATCGTCCCAGCCTATACCTGACCGGCTCATATGCCGAGCATAGAAGCGAATGCCGATCAGTATCAGAGATAAAGCTGAGCCGGCAGCCCCGACTCCGGTCAAGACATCCTCATGATCCATCTTTAGGCCATTTATGGTGACAGAGGGGAAGAAGGGGAAGAAGCAAGAGATGTGGGATGCATTTGGAAATCAGTGCCTGCTGGTCATGAATAGCGATAAGAAGATGACTGGCCGATCATTCCGATCTGCTTATGATACTGGTCGTGAGTCGAATCAGTTTGAGACACGCCCAATGGTAGCGCAACACGTAGGGACCAAGACATGGAGAGGTATCACGGTTTAGAGATAGGACCCTTGGGACCTTATTTGGTTTAAGAATTAAGAAAAAAAAACCCTATGTGAAAAACCCCACAGATTACAGGGTCGCTTATAATAATACCTATCGTTGTCGCGTGCTGAGGTATGAGGCGAATTATGGCAAAAGCCGGGCAAAGCATGGGCTCAAAAAAGGTAGCATCTTACAAAAGAGCCTTTGAAGAGCCACACTTCATGCGAGGAAGAGGCGGAGTGAGGAATAAGAACTTCGGTGGCTGCTCACTGCATATTGGGGTGTGACTGCGTCGGCTGATGGTGCGTCCGTCACTCTCATCGCCGACATGGATACGACAGAGTGCCCGCTCTTCGTGCATGTTCGAATGGATATCAAGTGTTCCTTCTGTAGCGTCCCATTTTATTTTGGTAGCACCATGGAAGAAAGCGGCTGTTCCTTACGGCCAAACCAACAAGGGCGCCAACAGTCTAGACTCCAGAAGCACCGGCCAATCCCCCTTTTGTTCCGGCTATGCGGCTTCGGCACACGCATGTTACTGCATTCAGAATCCGCCGAATGGGATTTTAAAACCGCTACAGCCCAGCTCTAAACTTGGGTCCACTGGCACACTGCTGACTGCTTGATGCCACTGAGAATAGGCACGGTCGCGAAGCTGCAAGCCAAGCCAAGACGCGACAAGCATATCAGATCACTTGATTGAAGATGGGCAACAGCTTCTCCAATCAGTTCCCCGTCTCGGGCAGGGTACGTGGCAACATAAATCCCCAACTTGGATCTAAGAGCAATTCTCCTAATATCCGCGATCGCAGACTGTCGTCATTACTGGCGGCTCCCAGGGCATGGGGTTGGAGGCCGGTCGGCAATTAGCACAGAAGGGAGCAAACATCGTAATCGTTGCGCGCAATATTGACAACCTCAAGTCAGCAATCGAGTCTATTGCGGTAAGATATCCCGTTCCCATATCATAGTGCGACCTCACTGACCTGCTCAGAAAGGAGCTTCCTCGCCCGAGACACAGCGTTTTCACTATGTCAGCGCTGACCTGAGTTCTGAGTCGGAATGCGTTCGAGTCATCGGCGAGGTCGAAGAATGGAATGGCGCTCTACCTGACATCGTATGGTGTGTCGCTGGGAGCTCCCGGCCGCAGCTTTTCATTGACGCCCCAGCCTCCTCGCTGGACTCGCACATGAAGAATAATTTCTTCTCGAGTGCTTACTTGGCCCACGCCATCCTAAGTCGTTGGCTACGACCAGTCGATGATCCCTCGTCCAACAATACAAAAAATACAGGCCGCCCAGCGGACCGACATTTGATCTTCACATCTTCGCTAGCAGCATTATATCCGATCATTGGCTATGGCTTATACAGCCCCTCCAAGCTCGCACTGCGAGGTTTGTCCGATGCGCTCTCTCAAGAAATGAACCTTTATAATGCTGCCCATCCCAATGAGCCACGCGTGCGCCTTCACACCATCTACCCAGGAACAATTCTCACCAGCGGGTATGAAGGGGAGCTCAGCACTAAACCAGATGTCCAAAAGTCGGCCGAAGAACTTGATTTGAAGCAGACGGCGGATGTGGTTGCCTCCAAGAGCATCGCGGGTCTGGAGAGCGGCCGAGAATTCATCACAACTGACATCGTGGCCAGTCTTGCCAGACAGAGCCTTCTAGGCAACACGCCTCGAGGAGGATTCTTACAGGGTCTTTTGGACGCTTTAATGGCGGGTATCATCTCTATTCTCGTTGTGATAGTTAGATGGGACATGGACAGACAGGTCAGCGCATGGGGGCGGAAATATGGCACCTCAGCCAAAGTAGACCTGGAGCAAAAGGCATCAAAGTAGATTCAAGTGTCTACCTGCCTGTAACTCTTCCTCATCACTCTTTGGGTTTATTTTGGTCTGCCGTCGATATGACTGGGGAACCAGCCTAATATTGTCGCGAAAAAAATACTATAATATGTCTAATTATCGACAACCATGCCTGAATTAACGTTCACATTAATTTCTTATTCGCGCATACAACTATATGTCTGTTAAAGGTTATGGCTCAAGAACATGGTGTGGTGGACCAAGATACAGCCTTCTGATGGGTAAACCTAAAACCGCATGCGTGTCGAATACTTGTATCCTGGGTATCCCAAGAAAGGAGATCAGAGTCACGAGCGCTGAACAGACTATATACCACAATGTAGCCTTAGTTGGGGGATTGAATGTGAGGAACCGTCGAGAGAGCGGTTCATGTTGTATTGGTCGGCAAAAAGTTAGCCCGTTACCAGAAACATCAAATACATCTAACGTCGGTTTTCGCTCAAGAATCACTACCTTCATCCGTCATTCCAAAAAATCCTCAATTATATCGACCACCATCTGGTCTATTCGGAGCATATCTCACGCAGCCACATTTGACAAATTTGTGATAAGGTCTAGCGCAAACATCCGATCATGGTAGGCACCGAGAGCGCCGCCCAACGTGAGCGAAATCGACAAATTGTTACTCGTTACTGGGAGGAGTTCTGGACCAAGGGAAACACAGATATCCTTGATGAGCTCTGTGCCGACGATTATGTCGTGTTCTATCCATTGCACGGCAGAATGGTGGGGAAAGAGGCTGTTAAGCATATGTTGAGCAGCTTCAAAACGGTATGCCATCCCCTCATCGCGTGTAATGTACAGATGATGCGCGCATACGCCATGATATTATTTATTCTCTGCGCTCCACAAACCAAAATATATGAGTTGGGCAGTCGGGCAATGAAACGAGTTTTTGTTGGGTCATATGCTAACGAAGAGTCACAGGCATTTCCAAACATCTCATTCAAGCTTCTCTCTCCATTCCCCGTCATCGCCGAAGATGATTATGTTGTTGCTCGCTGGTTCGGTGGAGGCAAACATACAGGCGAGGCTTTTTTTGACTTCCCAGTTGGAGGTTTGCCCCAAGCCAACTCTGGCAAGGAGATGCGCTTTTCTGGAACCACAGTATTTACTCTAAAAGATGGCAAAATTGTAGAAGAGATCGGAGAAGAATCTGCACTTTCTGCGCTACAACAGCTAGGGCTGATACAGGGGAACATGGGACCTCAAGTTGATAGTACAAAGAAATAAATACGCCTCCGATTGTTATGTGCCTAATTTTCCAATGCAAGCTATTTACCCATACAACCATTTCCAGTGCCGCAACCTGGAATATTTTGTGTTAAAACACATGCATAGAGGATAGAACGTCTTTGATATCCGGATGCCCAGTACGACGTAGTAATTGGGCTAGATGAGAGGCGAAGAATGCTTTGTGATGCTCTTTTTGGCTGCTTGACGCCGCAACGGAACAAACCCATGCAAGTCCATTCTCCCCAAGTGAAAAGGGTGGAATGCTGCTAACGATTATTTTCAATTCGTCCAAGAGCTCATCTAATATTTTAAAGGTGTTCTCGGTGGTCCTTGCGTCTGCATTTTGCTCAAAGACCCGTGCTGATGTTAGAGAATGGATCTCGCAGGTCAGTGTTGTCGCTCTGTCAAGTTTTACGAAGATCTCGCTGATTTTCTTTGTACGAGAACTAGAGTCTGAGCTCTCTCCTATTTGAAGGGACATCTGAAAGTGATATATAGGATGGACCAAAGACCTCATTCTACCCATAAAGCTGTTAGTAAGATCAATTTGTTTCAACCAGTGGGTGTTTTCAGGAGACATACACTTGAATCTGGTCGTGGAGAAATTCACGAGAGTCAGCCTCACTTGAGCTGCTTCCGAGGGGAAGACTCAGTTGATCCCATGAGTTGGCCAGACCGATCAAGGTTTGGAACTCTTTATGACCGGATATCATGTCGTCTACCAGCAGCCCGAGGATTGTGGCCAGAATGGAAAGGCGAGACAATGGGTCGGAGGGAGGATGGTTGGACGCCTCCCTTAAGCCTGATATAGCTGCCGACCTGTATTCCAGTGCACCAAGTGGTACTTTGCTTGCTTGGGTTATCTCGAGATGGCCAGCCGAGGCGGCCAGGATGGCATGTCGAACCATTTGGTTGTTCATGGCCAACGGGATTACATGCTGGGCGTATCCATAATTTGATGACTCGGTGATTTCAAGAGATGGCATCACAAACTGGCAGACTATCGAGTGGTGAATATTAGTTCACGAAGCTAGGATATGAGCCATGGAGTCAACCCACAATGATGTAGCAGTCGGACCTCGAGACCACGATACGTGTTTATCGACGCCGGTATTCCCGTTTGGGGCGTATGGATTGGCATTTGAACCATGTTCCATAGGTCAGGCTCAGACCGTATGGGAAGCAATCCAGCCGAAGCCCTCGCCGCCTTGTCAACTGCCCAAATGAAGTGACCAGGAGCCCGTAGCATGATCAAGTCAGTTGTCGCGAAGGATTGAGGCCGTAGAGGACCGACAACAGCAACAAGGCAATCCTTCCAATGATTGGCTGCCTCTCCATTGCGCTGTGCCTCTTCATGGAACTGCGCTGCTTCACTTCGGAGTTTGAGCACTTCTTTCTCGAGAGCATCCATATAATCTTTGGATCGCTGCCGATGGCCTCTGCGCAATTGGTTGATCTTAGCTGAGCCCCCACCAGTTTTGCAGAAGACATATTCCGTAGCCATACCTTTGAGCCTTGAGAACTTGTTCACGCCTGGATTTGGGAGACGTCTCCTTATGGTTTAAACCTTTCGTCGCAGTGTTGGTGTCTGCGACCAAAGGGGGCATGAAAGAGACAGTCCCCAGCACCGCCCGCTCTCGCTTTTTGATCGTCGGCATTCTCCCACGCTCTTCCTCTCAATCGGTTTTGTGGTTTCTGCTGTTATTTATTGCCTCGGATCCAGAGATTCAGGGTATCTCGGTGAGGGTGCTATGAGCCTACGAGGGATGAACACTTGTTGTGAATGTCGTCGACCGGTGGATGCTGACAAATTGACCTACCCGATAGCGTGACGTCCTTGCATCTACGACAAATTAGGTTTGTCAAAATCAATCAAACATAACATGGCTTCAGGAAAAGAATCTTCCAAATTATTGCGTTCTTCTTTGAATAACAAGTTCTTTTACTGCTGATCAAAAAGAAGAACTAGCAAATTGAGGGGATATTCATGCAAAAAGAATCACTTTAAAATCAACTATCTCACAAGTCCTAGATGGGACAAAGGGAAGGGTTGTTGGAAGGAATTGTTTCTGGCTAGCCAATATGAAAGGATATTAGCCCTTATGCCAACACGAAAATAGAAAAGCATCAACCTTTACTCCATAACTTGACTCCCCAAACTCTGGGAGCATTTTCCATATAGCAGCCTTGCCCAGAAAACCTATCCACCTAGTCCTCATGCTGCTGGCTGGTAGAGTTCTTGCGTCGATACTCATCCATGAACGCTCCCCATTCAGTAGAATCCAAGTTTCCCAACCTCATTGCGTATCTCGTGAGATGGTCACGAGTCTTGAGAGAACCAAGCCGAAGATTGCGAACCGCTGATTTGACCGGTTTTGGCCAAACACGCTTTTTCTTTCTGCTGAATTTGTCAATGAGCCTCCACCGAATGAAGTCTAGAGGGCGCATCTTGAGGACTCCTGCATCATGTAAGGGCTGGAGAGTCTCCAGATATGGGCACATATCCACGGGTAGTCTTGAGTTGCACAGCCCATCGCTAGGTAAGGCAACCGCTGTCAACAGCTGATTCGGATGAAACTCCGTGTCTGGGCCAAAGTTGGCCATGACTCTCTCGCATTCTCTCTTTGTCCTCTTCACCAAGGCGTTCCGGGGATCCTCTGTATCCTTCCAAATATCGATCGAACACCAACTGCTCTGCCAGTGTTCACCATGCTCCTCCATTTTCCCCACGGGAACACCCTGCATAAGTGCGGGGGAGATGAAGGTCGCTTGATTTTCGTCGAGCTTGAAGACGCGCTCGAAAGGAGTGCCGAGTAGGCTCACCATATGCTGAACATATTTGAACTCTCGCTGGGGCGGCTTCTCATTCCGCCGCACCCTTGGAGCCCTCATTCCTTGCGGGTAAATTTTGACGAGCCGCCTTTCAAACGTGCGGCCAGCCTGTAGGCAATTTCTCTGCTGGACGAACTTGTTCATTTTAATCTCGGTCGAATTCCCAAAAAGCCAAACAGAGACTTTGGAAGTGGAATCCGAACTCGGCCACTCACCATTGGCACTGGCTCTTCATAGTCCGCTTCGAGGTCATGCGTGGTTCTTTCGAAACAAGTTTCCATTTTGGCTGGTTTGAAGCCGCGAGAAAGTGCGTTGTAGTCGGATCCTAATCCTCACGTCTTTCTTATGAAGTGTTCTCGTTAGTGAAGGGTTTCCCTTGGATTGATGGATATAGCATGCCAATCTTCGCGACAAATCTCACCCAAGTGATGGCTTGAAGGCCTTTCACAGTTGCGCATCTGGGACCTGATACCAGATAAAGACAGCAATACCTGAATGTGTGCGAGTGAAGTTTGGTAGCCGAAGAGAAAAAAAGAAAGCAGGTTATGGAGGTGCAGAAGAGTTGTAGGAGATCAGCGTTCCTTATGTAGTGGAGCAAAACAATACACACAATGAACAAAAGAACCTTTTACGAATCCCCTACTGAGGCATCATTATGCATACAGTGGTAATGAGATTGCCGTTACAATGAAAAAGGGCTTCAAGCATGAGAAAGAGAGATGCGGTGACAGAGTCGTACCTAACCTCATGTACCGATATGCCTGTGAGTTAGGGAAGAACAAAAAAAGCTGGGTCACACACGGCCCTGGCCTCCTGTACGGCATATATTTTTAAAAGTAATTGTAAAAAATAACCTGCAGGGCGAGCCGCTATGAAAGCTCTTTCTCAGGCTTCTTTAGGTGGAATTTCCAAGAGCGGATGGGTCGGAAGCACCACAACAGAAATCAGCGGAGCGAGTGCCTCAAGTTGTCTCATCGCCTGAGTTTGTAGGTGTTTATTCTCTCTAGCCGCCATGACTAGTTGCAGCCTTTCTTCTGAATTGCAAAGAAAGAGGCTGTGGCTAACTGAAGGCCCAAAAAGCAATCAGTCATCCCAGGAGACAGCGGGGCGTATGATTCCACTTTCTAGGATCGATCTTCAGCGTTCTATTCGATACGGCATTTATTTCACAATGACCCTCCCGGGATGTTTCTGTATGTTCGTTGATAGCACAGTCGAAGGTAGCTGTGAACTAATTTGAAAGTCAACTATATGTACATGTAAAGCAACTTTCTGTTAATATTCTAATTTACAATGGCATCAAGTTGCCCAGCAAAGATGGAGACACGTTCTTGTTACCAGTTTTTTAACCCCGATTGATATCTCTGGAATGTCCCAATGCGATGAGGCGGAATTAAAACAAGGAAATATCCCCTGTGTCTCCTGCTTAGGTTCGAACAGCGCACTTGTTGTTCCTGCAGGTCAGGTCATCGGAGCAGTCATCGGCAGTCGAGCAGGTTGCTCCTTTTGTGCAGACGGTACGTCAGTCATCCTGTCATCAAAACACTTCACTATCAGAGAGAGAGATTACTCACCGAGGCAGTGACCAGCCCACTTGCAGGTAGCAGTGGCGGAGGGCGCGGCAGAGCTTGTGGTGGTGGGCGAAGAACCAGAGCCTCCGCTGCCAATCTTGCTGACGAGCTTATCACCAAGGCTCTTGATGCTGCTATGGAATTCATCAAAACTGCCAGCAGCCCAGTTGGCACCCTTTGCACCGGGGAGGGCATCCTTGCCGGTGAAACCAATGTAGAGGACATCGTAGTCGTTGTGGCTTGATCCATCTTCATCCCTGCCGCTCATCTTCTGGCCATAGCAAGCAGTGGCGAGCGAAAGAGAAACCTCACCAACACTAGGGCGAGGACCATTATCGGCATTCTCGTCACCCCAAACACCGTAGAACTATATCAAACCACACATTAGTTTCTCCAATGGAATAAGAGCGGTTTATGAACAGCCCTACCATCTTATCACCACAAACAACAGCCATGACACTGGCCATCTCCATACCATATTCCTGAGGTTCAAATGTAGGGAAGCCCTTGCCGTTCTCACCACTGTTTCCGAAAACAACGTAAGGGTGGATGTGAGGGTTCAGGTCGCTAATTCCGGCATTGTAACCAGCGACGGTCAGCCTGGCTGAGGTTCGTGACTGGGTCTGTGGAGTGTCGCCGCAGCGAGTATCGCCGTTAATGGGTTGTTGAGTACCGTCGCAGTCCACATCCATGTTGGAGAACATGCCCGAACTCTTGGTGCCGGTGCTGGGGCCCGCGATGTAAATGATGCCACTGTCCGCCATGTGATCTCCGCAGTAGGACATGTCTGTATGTATGGGGTTAGATAGGGCGTCTTTCGATCTTTCAAGCGTTTCAACACACCTGGGCCACCGAATTCGTCATTATAGAAACCTGAAGAGAGCTTGTTGTCGCATTTGCCCTTTGCCTTGACATCGTTGTAGAATTGCCTGACGTTAGCAGGGACATCGAGGCCAAGTGCGCCGGGCAGGGCCGTGAAGAGAAGAGCAGGGATGAGAAGAGACATCGTGATGATTGCAAAGAAAGAGTGTATGGAAGATGAGAATTGTAGGTCAGAGAATGTCACTGCAGGAAAATGAAAATGGTGTGAGGACTGGAAATCTTTTAAAGGAATGAGGAGAGTAGAAAGGCTCATATAGATGGAACCATCGCTTAGGTAGCCGCCTCGCCCGTGAATCGTATACCAACCAATTGTGTAGTTGTTGGTAGGAGGCGTGTTTCGAAACAGCCTTCAATTCTTTTTTGTCCATTAGAGGCTTTCCTTTCTAGGGCCCCATGTCTAGAATAATATACTTCGTGCTAAAAACAATCCTGAACGGACCACGTGTGGGCGACAACCGATGTTTGTGTGCATTGATTTACGGTTAGCTGAACCCCGGTGCTGGGTTACTCCTGAAGGATCAAATTGCTCGGTACTGCCGGCAGCGATCCGTCAACTTGGCGAGACGACAGAAAAGGCACAATAAGAATCACCAGAGAAAAGAAGCAAAAGCCTTGCTATTTATTATCATGAAGATATGAAGGAGAAACAAAATATTCATAGCCCCAACGCTTGTTTGATGGTCAGACTCGCCATGGTGAGGAACACAACAGCTTGCCAGCGTGTCAGCCTCGCCCATGTGGAGAGCTGATCGAAACTAGCTCGTTTCAAATACATCCCGACGTGCCGATTTCCGAGTCTTGCCAAGATATTTTTAAGGTGCAACGACTCAGGCAGCCTCCTGATGAACAGCCCACATCGAAGTCCGCGGAAATCATCAGCAAACGGTTGATCTGGCCCAGGCTCTTTTGGCCATATAGATAGATGCTCAGTACCGTGGTATTGAGGTAAGACGAGCAAAAAGAGCGACACAGATATGCTGTAGGTTGATAGAGCTCAGACATTTTCTGTGAAGGTCATTAACTCGTATCCTGGATGGGATGGTCGATATGCTTGATCCTCAAGTCGGAATTGAGCCAACCATACGATTTGATATTCCACAACCAGGTGCTTATTGAGCTTCTCCGCAGCCATTATATGTGCATCCTGCTATATCTGGCTGAAGCAATTTGGGTTAGATAGAAGCTATCGAGCATAATAACGCTGCCGAACGCGTTTGGTGCGAAGCATTTGATTTCCAGATCAAGCAGCCAACCCTCATCACGAATATTTAAAGCAGTTGAAGCCAAGCGTCAAATATTGACCACAAATACCAAGCCCAAAATACTTGCCGCTAGAAATGAACTAAGTAGATTTTTAACTAAGCGGTTTTGCTGAGTATCTGCCACAGCCACCGTAATAGGCTACAGGTCTGTATGCTAAGATGGTGGCGAGTCTGATACTTAATTTGTATCCATTTATGGGAGTAGGTAGGCATTTCGTGCTGCGGAAAGACGATACACCACATTGCAGCCGTTGGAGGATCTTTCCATCTTGTTTTATATCATCGAGCACCTCTATTTTCAGAGGAGTGGATAGCAACACGAGATTGCTAAACGCGCTGTTCAAGGCGCCTGCCCCCTCCTCAGGTGTGGTTACAAACGTAAGCTGGTATGTGTTCAAATTTACTCTTGGAAGGCGAAGCATTATCTTATAAAGAGCTACAGATAGCATCTTTGCTGAATTCCGTACCGCACGCGAGAGACGTGTAGGGTGTTGGTAGCGAGCATTACAAGTCGATTATAAAGCCATAAATAAAATGACCCTCATATTCATCGACTGTTTGTCCTTAATATGTAAAACCTTCAACATAGCTGATAGCAGTGCCATTTGGTCATGGCAGGGTCATGTGAGTGGTGAAATGCGTGTTTGTTGAGACACCTGGCCTGACTTTGACAAACTCACCTTGACATCAGCGATTGAAATTTGGAAACAAGTTGGAACAAGCTTGGCGGTTGAAGTAGTGACATTGACTCCTTCCCCAGAGCGCCAATCACCAATCTAACAAATCAATCTCTAAATGGAGAAATAACACATCACCATCTTCCAACGGAGGATATATGACTCAAGAAATTTTTGGGACAAAATACAAGGTGTTAATATAGTATTTCATGGTGGAAAAAATGTTGAGCCAAAGGCCACAGTAAACACATTCGAGCTTTTCATCAGCTACAGTGACAGGCTTCGACTTGCCGTCATAATCGCAACCAACGTGCTTCGATCTCACAACACACCGTGGCCCACAAACATTTACTGCTGACGGTATTAAATTCACAGAAAAGAACTAAAATTATTCCTATGAAACTATCCTAGTCAATAAAATAGTCCCGGATGCGTTCAGCACACGTGCCGCCGTTGCGCCACCCTTGAGGATCCAGTCTTGCTTTCTCTTAGGTTTTTATCGATGGAGCTACTTGTCGGACTATTAAATACACCGTGAGACGGGTAGATCCTAGACTTATAGAGGTTTAAAGGAAGTTAAAGTATAGCATAGGTTCTTCTTCCTAGATCCGATGATAAGGGTCTTGGTCACTTCAGCACCGTTAGTCGATACTTGGGCGTAGAGCTGCACCGATGCCATGGCAATCGAGATGGCTCAGGCCTTCGGGGAGGAAATGGATTCAAACATAGCTTCACCGCCCGAGGAGAACTTG